TAAATCCCAACCATTTTGAGGAAAATGTGGCATTGAAAACATATTTGCTGCCTGCACAACTGTAAGTCATTTCCTTTATGTAATAATAGGGTACACTGTTAAAGTGTCATTTTTATTATAATAATAATAATCTAGCTTTAAAATGACAAATGATTCTGTCAAAAAATAAAATAGAGCATTCATTCTTATCATTTAATACTACACTCAATGAGAGGTCATATCACATAACGAAACAGCATGGACTTTAGAAATAATATGACAGCTAATATTGTCAATATAAAACATCTGAAAATCAATACATATATTATGTATACATACAACCAAGGTTAGGAAAGACATGCTTGACTCTACAGCTAAACTGTAAAACTGACTCATGACTGTTTTGTGTTGGGCTATTTCCCAGGCATACAATTGTTATAATTCAGTTGTAACTTCTGGGGCTGCAGTTAGAACACTGAGAGCTAGTCAAAGAGAGAGCATTAATTATCACATTAGTTAAAGGGAAAACTGTCTACTATACTGTTATTTGCAAAGGAATTCTGCTAGAAAAGTATATATTATTTAATTACTGTAAGTAGAACACCACCAAATGGTACAACAGAGACCAAGGTATGTATCAGCTCTTGGAGCAAAATCTTCAACTGAAATGGAAAAGTTTGCTTTCCAAAACTTCCCCTTGGCTTTTTTCTATTCATCTGCTAGCTATAACGACTAGTACATTCCTGAATCTGGTTTGTTCTGTTTCCAGACATATGAGAAAGTTGTGTCCACAGTTATCAGATGATTGCTGGCATGTGGGAAGAAATCTAGCTTAGAGTTGATACACAAAATAGCCCCAGACCAGTGTTCTCAAACTTTTTGGTCTTGGTACCCCTTTATACTCTAAAAAATTCTAGGAGACTCAAACAAACTGTTATTTATATGTGTTAATCAATCAATATTTACTAAATTAGAAACTAAAACTGAGAACTGTTTAAAATATTTATTAATTCATTTTAAAAAGTCCATTAAGTGCTAACATACGTATTTGCTGAAAAATAACTGTGTTTTCCAAAACAAACTTAACTGAGTGAGACAAGCGGCATTATTTTATGCTTTGCAAATCTCTTTAATGCCTGGTTTAAGCAACATAGGCAAATTCTAATATCTGCATCTACATTCAATATATTGCTACATCATATATCATGTGGCCTTAGGAAAACTCCACTGTACACTGGAGATAAAGTGAGTATATAAGGCAGCTAGCATCTTACTATTCTTATTGAAATAATTTTCACCTCTGGGACCCTCTGAAAGGATCTCAAAGATCCCAGAAAACACTAGAAAACATTTTGAAAAACACTGCCCTAGACTACCTGTATCAATGGTTTTCAGTACATTTTCTACTATAACACGTATAATTTTTTCATGCACATTTTCATGGATGTCTTCAGATATTAACAAAACAAAAATAATAGTTTGATCATTAAGCAAAATAAATAACATCAAACATTTTTGGGTGTTGAGAGATAATATGGGGAAGGGGGATGCCTGGAGGAGATGTGTGGTATACATGAATGCATTTTATATGCTTGTGGGAAATCGTAGGTTATGAATAATGAGCAATTCCTAAGCAGTCTGTTGCAACTCCTTTATCTTTGATTCAATGAAGCAAAATAGAATGTCAGTGAGATTACCATTATTACAGAGATACCTTAAATCTGTTAGGCTCTGATTTCTTTAAGTAAATCATTTGAAAGTTTGGGCATTTTAACAATTACTCGAAACCAATTACTTTTAAAACACTTCTGACAATGTTGAGAGGTGCCAGCCTATATTATTCATAGATAGAAACTCATCACTGCCTTTCAGGTGGCTGCTGGAGGTGGGGTGCATACTACTGCATACATTCAGTTCTCCTCTTTATATATAATTGCTGACACATAAGAAGAAGTTTTTCTTCATTTATATATTTTTTGGTACATAAACCTGTGTGCACATATTCAAAGAGAGCTTCTCTAAATGTGTCAGGCACTATTCTTGGCAGTTGGGATACAAAATATAATAAAATACAAATTCCTGCCCTGGAGAGATTTGTGTCCTAGTGTGGAGAGATATATAAGGAGAATAAGCAAACTAAACCATCCCTTACATTTCGATAAGTATTAGAGAGAAAAAGTAAAGGGTGGAATAAGAAATATCCGGACTGGGAGATGTCGTAATTTAAAATAGAGTGGCAAGTAAAGGACTGAAAGAAAAGATGGCATTTGAGCACACACAGAGGGAGGAAGCCATGATGGGAAAGAATGTCCTAAGCACAGGAAACAACTGCAAAAACTGAGGTTGAGAGCTTGTGTGGAGTGTTTTTGGAACACTAAGCTGAGTGAGCAGTTTGTGAAGTCAGAGAGGTTATGAGGGGCGTCTTAAAGCTATTAAGGACTTGGGTTTTTACTTTGTTTTGGGAAGCCATGGGAGACTTTGAGCAGAGGGGTGGTATAATTTGACTTCCTTTTTAATAAGTTTACTTTGGCCTCTGTATTGGGAATAAACTCAAAGGAAAGCAAGGGCAGAAGCAAAAAAACCAGTCCTTGGTCTATGGCAATAATCCAAACAAGAGATGCTGTAGCTTGTAGTCGAGGTGGTAAATAGTCGGATTCTGGGTATGTTTTGAAGGAAGAGCCAACAGATTATTTGCAAAATGGAAATGGGACATAAAAGAAAGAGAAGAATTAAAAATGGGTTTGGATAAGGAAAGATGGAACTATTCATTGAAATGACCACGATTATGGGTGTGGCTGAGAGGGTTGGAAGTATATTTTAGTGGGATTCCTGTTGATTAATTCCTTTCTTGCTTTCAGATGAATAGGTAGATAAACAGAATAAAATTATGTTATTTTAGTGAAACTGTTCTAAAATATGTGCCTGGAGCAACTGAAGAACTGTGAATAACTTTTCCTACATTAAAAGTATTTATGGATCAGGAAGCATACCTGTGTTCTGATCCCGGTTCTATCTTCAACAAGAAAAGACTTTAAGCAAGTCATTTAACTTTGTTATACCTATTTCTTAATTGATAAAATGAAGAATTGAACAAGGTGAACTCTTCCAGTCCCTGTCTGGATTGAAATCCCAGCTGCACCTATTTCTGTATAATGGGAATAACAATAGTACCTACCTCATTGTTTATTATGAGTTCATGCCTGTAAAGCACTTAAAACAATGCCATGCACATTGTTAGTTAATAGTAGTATTACCTCTTCAAGCTGGAATCTTCAAGTATGTATCAAGTTTTTGCTAATATCGTCATAGGGTGTGTAAGACAGTGGGTAAAACTGGATGGCTAAGGAGAGCATCAAGTTAGGAGATTAAGTTTAAAGATGGAGAATACCCAGTTCAATATTACTACATTTAAAGAATTTATAAAAATATTGCTGTTACCTACCTGAGTAATGATTACTGAGCTAGATGGCACGCTTTAAAAATTGATTATGTATATATGTACGTACACACACACACACACGTCTGACAATTAAGTTTGAGAACTTGTTGCAATGATTTTGCTAACCTTTTTTGGTATCAGATAGATTACTCATTATGAATTTGTACCAACTGGACAAACAGTTAACCAAGTTTACTATTTGGAAGTGCTGAAAAGGTTGTGTGAAAAAGTTAGACAACCTGAACTTTTCACCAACAATTCATGGCTCTTGCATCACAACAATGCATCAGCTCACAGGGCACTGTCTATGAGGGAGTTTTTAGCCAGTAAACAAATAACTGTATTGGAACAGTTATTTCCTCCACACTCACCTGATCTGGTCCCCAATGACTTCTTTCTTTACCCAAAGATAAAGGAAATATTGAAAGGAAGACATGTTGATGACATTCAGAACATCAAGGATAATACGACGACAGCTCTGATGGCCATTCCAGAAAAAGAGTTCCAAAATTGCTTTGAAGGGTGTACTAGGCACTGGCATCAGTGTATAGCTTCCCAAATGGAATACTTTGAAGGTGACCATTGTGATACTCAGCAATGAGGTACGTAGCTCTTTTTCTAGGATGAGTTCATGAACTTAATTGTCTGACCTCATGTATATATCTATTTTGAAATAAATTGATTTCAGAGGAATGAAAGGAAACGTACACATTTCTAAATATAAGAACACTGAAAATGTCCAACCTTGAATAAACAGTTAACGAGATCTCAAATGCAATAGCCTTGGAAATAAGAAGATACTGGCAGGCAATGTGGAAATATACTCACGTATATACTCTTTTAGAGACAAAAAGCATGCTCTTCCACCCTCTTCGTTTTACAACAAATTAAGAAAATACAGTTTCGAAAAAGATAATGCATATGCTAAGATAAAAATGGAGGATACTGCCTAGGTTTTGATGTTTAAAACCACAGGCATGCAACAAAATAAGCCATTTCTTTAGTTTTAGATTCTTACGCTGATCAATCTCTTCCTCCAGCTTCCTATGCCTCAGAAAAATGGCCCAAAAGGAAAGTAAGATCCTTTTCTTTTTCCAATTAAATTACACAACCATTCAGAAGATGAATAATCTGGGACGTCCTAGAGGACTTTTTATTTATTTATTTATTTTTATGTATGTATGTATTTATTTATTTGTTTGTTTGTTTGAAAGAGAACAAGCAGTACTTTGCCACGGGCTCTTCAACCCAAAATCCAGCTAGGTCCTGAAGCTGGGTTTCTGAGCAGCCCCATCTGCTGGTCCTGTGCGTGTCTTACTTCCTTGGCCCCAAATCTCTTTCTCTCTCTCTCTGTGAGACCCGCACTTTCAGACTCTTTTGTACCCAATTACAACTAAAGCAAAACATAAAGCAGTTAGAAGAATCCAGGTAACCAAACTATAGCTCCCCAAAAACAGAAGGCAGGAAGCCTGCGGCACGCTTTGAGGGCCATGGGGGGGGGGGGATAAGAAGGGGCGGGGCTAGCGCGAGCTCCCCAGTGCGCTGTGCTGCTTCCGCCCCGCGTGGCCCCGCCCTCCGCGACACGACGGGCGGTCACGTGACGGCCGCGCGCGTCCCCGGCCGCTGCGGGTTCCGAGGCCGAGGAGAAAAGACTGCGAGGCCACCGCAGCTGTGGCCAGAGAGGTGGGAGACGGGGCGAAGCCCTCGCGGGGGGCAGGGTGGAAGTCAGCCAGCCACTCCAGGTTCCTAACTCGGGAAGAGGAGTGATGGCCCGCGGTGTCACCTCCTGCCACGACGCGCTCCGGGTCAGCCCTGCGTACTGGGCCTGAGAGGGGCGGCGGCGGGGTCAGGGGCCGGTACGTTGATGGACGCCCTTGGGCCTGTCCGACCGCGGATGTCCGCGCCGGGGCGGCATGGGATGGGGAGGCTCAGACCTTCCCGCCGCCCCCACTGTGGCTGTTGTCGCAGGCAAGAAGACTGCGACGGGCTCTGCGTTGCCGGCGACCGCCGCAGCCCCTGTCCTGGGCGACGGCTGGGAGCTGGTCACGGTCAGGGTGCGAGGCGGAGCAGCGGCCATTACTGCGCAGCCTCTTCCGCCGGGGTCCTCGTCGCTACCTTTGGTGGCAGCCAGATCCATCTCTTCTCCCCTCGGATGTGGTGTCAGGCCTCTGCCCGGGAACCTTCTGGCCTCAAGATTTAGGGGCGGCGATGGTTTGGGGGGTGGGGTATCCTGCTCCCTTGTTTCCCTTGTGGAGGCCCTAGTCGGGCCTTGGGTTAAAACGCATCCAGGGTGTACAGTCTCTACATTTTGTATTTTTCCGGAGTGTCTTTGGCTGCTGCTTTCTCTTCTCCCCTTCCCCCTGCTCAGTGTCTGGGTCTTTGCCTTATACGAAGAGTAGTTCCTCCACTTTGTCTCGGTTAAACCCTGCGCTGGGTATCCTAAGTTGTTTTGATGGTTATTAAAGCATCCCAACAATTACACTTTGAGCCTCCAAAACCTCAGTGCATCTTCAAGCCGAGGCCGTTGCTTTGTTCTTCGGGTTGTTGGATGCGGAGTTCTCTCGCTACCCCCCATCCCGTCTGAAAGAGCGGGTCTTCCATTGTTGTTGCTGTTTTATTTTCCATAGGCGTCTAGAGAAACGTTGCAAAATTGTTTTGAGTTTACACACACATTCTGGCAACTGGATTTTTCCCTGTTTTCATATATATTTTTATTTTCCCAAGTACCTTTTTAGTGAGTATTTATTTCTCAAGTTTCGATAGTACCAGCATTTATTTTGTTTAAGTAATATTTTTGTATTATTGAAACGAATTGAGGGGAGAAGACGCCAAGAAATGATAGAAAACGCTTTGTCTTTGTATGATTGACATTTCAGGCTCTTCCCCCACCCCCATGTGTTTACTACTTTGTAAATAGTATGTGAAAGTATAACATTGGCATTGAAAGCAGTATATAATTATAAAAGTTGGAAAACTTTAAAAAAAATGAATCTATATTTAGATTTTTAAAAGACTGTGGTATATAGGGCACATGAAGAAAATGACTGGCACACAACAGGATTTATGATACCGGCTTTGATGTTTTTGTGACCAGCAAATACTGTTTGTGATGAGTGCCTGGATGTTTTGAAAACATGAAAATAGGTCAGGTAAATCTCATTTTAAAGAGAAAATCGGAAGAGTGAAAGCCACTCTAGAAATAGATTTTGAATATGTTTGTTTTATCCGTGTATATCTTAAATTGGGCATTTTGTTAAGCCCCATTTTTTATTTCAAATTGGCCAATATAAGTTGTGGGCAAAATGAAACTAATGGTAGATATTTTTAGATTTTTTTGTTACTTACTGGTTGTTAACAAAATACTTGGTATTATCATCATCAGGAAAACTATATTTCCAAAGAGCTGGTCATTGGACAAGAGGGATACTCTTTGAGGAGACGTATCAACTGGTAAAATATTTTGTTTCAGTTTCCACCAACTTGAATTGTTAGAAGAATGGGGCAGATTTTTTTTTTTTACAGGATTGAAAAATGATTTCTTGACTTGGTAGAAGAAAAAGAGTATTAAATTTATTCACAGTATTAGTTTAGATAATATTATTTTATGTATTAGCCATTTACTAGCATGAAATGTCTGATACACTGTCAGTTGGATATTTTAATGCTTTTTTCCCCCCAGTGTTAGTAACAAGGTGCTGAGCCTCTTCCATTCTCTTGCCTGGCTTCTGATTGTTCCTAAGGAACCTGAGTTTGTGAAACAACTGCTGGATTAGGAACAATCTTTGTGGGTATGGAAACCACCTTACTAACATTTCACTGCTTACATGTGGACTACTTAGTGTTTATTACCTTTTGGGTTAATTAAAACAAAACCTGTTGTTAGATGCCTGTTAATTAAAATATTTAGAATTGAGAATTACAGAAGTATAGAATAGGGTGAAATAACTAAGACATGGGTGGGAGTTATGACTTGACCAAGGTCACACAGATCATTAGCAGCAGAGCCTTTCTTATTTACAAGATGATTGCAGACTATGAAACTTCTGTTTGATATGCTTAAAAGATAACAGTTCACATTCACATTTCATATTTTGTTAAACTAAAATGCAAAGCCCACATTTTTGGAGGGAAAATGTAAAGGTTGAATGCTTGAGTGTGAAGATAATGAAGGCCATAGATTGCCATCCAGTAATGTCTTTTAAGGGAAGTGCTTGCTATACAGTATGGGGAATAATTATTTAAAATAAAGTATTGGACCCCATTTAGTTGAAATGAGTTTTTACGGAAGGCTTTTGTTTAACGGCATGAGAAGGAAAGCTAAAAATGGAAACATTAGGGCATTTAGTTACATCTCTCAATTTGGGATTCTCTTTTAAGAAATAAATACTAAAATGTACCTGCGAAATTACAGCCAATCTCTCTTCCTTCTTTTACCAGTCGTTGCTTTTATTTTGGGGGATGTTTATATACCAAAAGTTGTAAGGTTTGAAGTATCTTTGTTTTCTGTTTCTGATAGCTTTTATGTAGAACATTTCCTGTTTTGTGTATTTTGCATAAATAAAGAGTAAAAACTACTTTATTAAACATTAGCTGTTAGTAATTGGAACAATACAGGAAGTCTTCAAATCTCTCAAATTTGATATTTTAACTGTTATATACTTACCTTTTTCTTAATTGATTCTTTAAAAAATATATTTATTTGAATCTATGTGGGGGAAAAAAACAAAAAAAAAACCTTGTTTTTCACCTTGTGACAGACTTGAAAAGTAGAATTGTAATTAATACTAGATATTTTTAGAGAAAGTAACAGTATTACAAACAATAGGAGTGTGAGTTTGTTGAGCGGTCACAAATTATAAATAGTACAATATTACTTAATTTTCACTTATACTTAAATTGATTGAGTGGGTAAATGATTTAAATTTACTGATAATCTCTAAACTCTTTCATGTATTTCTAAATTTGGTCTCTTCTTTTTCTTCAGAATTGTTAAGGGAGAGAAATATCTAATTTAGTTTCAAATCTTGACTCTTTTTGTTTCTTTTGTTACCTTTCTAATAGTTTATTTCTGTATAAATTTGCACCTAAAGAGGGAAACTTAACCCACCAATTGGTATTTGCATGTCAAGATATTGTGTAAATTTTACTGTAGTGATTCATAAATTGTATTGAGTTTGGTGTATAATTTACAAATCATTCATTGCAGCAGGAATTATGTATGTTTGAATTATTTATGTTTGCCAAATTAATTCTGGCCTGTAGTTAGAATTACAGTATTCTATTTTTGGTTGAAAGTAAAAGCCTCTCCCTCCCTCCATTAAAAAAAAAACAAAAAAAAAACGTTGGTTTCAAATGTAGACGTTTACTGAGGACTACTTCACATACTTGTCCTGAATATTACATGCCATTCCCTGTGTTGTACCCATTTGATATTGTAATTCTCAGAGATTATAGTTAATGGGATCAGTTAGCAGAATTGGGACCACCTAAACCTGTCAATTTTGATCACAACAGAATATGCAAGGTATGGGAAAAGTAACATGAAGTTCATTTTCTTTATTCAAAGAGTCTTGTTATAAATTGCCATTTTTATGTTAAAAAATAGTTTTTAATATGCAAGACATTCTAAACCTGTACTACCCAGTATGGTAGCCAATAACCACAGGGAGCTATTGAGCACTTTGTATGTGGCTAATCTGAACTGAGTTGAGCTATAAGTGTAAAACACTCACCGGAATTAAAAGAGTATACACACACATATAAAAAATGTAAAATATCACAATAATTTCTTTATGTTGAATACATGTGGAAATGGTAATGTTTTGAAAATATTAGGTTAAATAAAATATATTTTTAAAATTAATTTTACCTGTTTCTTTTTATTGTTTATAATGTGGCTAATAGAACATTTGAATTTATATATGTGGCTTACATCATATTTCTATTAGATATTGCTGTTCTAGACCTTTTCTCTGAGATACAGTACATTGAAGAAAAGATTTTTTTTTAAAGATGCTTGAGCTTGAATCCCATCACCCAATATTGATAGCTTTGTGATTTTGGGTTAAATCCTTGTGGGCTTGGGTATCCTCATTTCTTGGGTTGTCGGAAAAGTCATGACGTATTTTTTCTGTTTTTCGTTGCAAAAATGCATCATGACTTTTCTGACAACCCAATATAAAACAAGTGTAGCCATATTTCACAGGGTTGTTTTGAGGATTCAGTGATATGGGTCTACCAGTGTTTTCTGAACTTGAATATGCATATGAATCACCTGAGGATCTGATTGTATAGGTATGGAGTGGGCTCCAGATTTTTCATTTGTAAGGAGCTGCAGGTAATGCTGATATTGCTGGTTGGGGATCAGTTTGCATAGCTAGGGTCAAGAATACCAAATAGGTTTTAGTTCATTTTCCTTCACCCAACCATTTTTAATCCATTTAGAGTCTACTTTGAAAATTATCCATGGGATATAGAAATTGGAAAAGTCACTGTAGTTTGCAGAATTTACTAAAATCGGTTTTATTCTTGGATCTTTATCTGCATTGTGGAGAATTCATGGCCAGTGAACAACAGCTGGGTAAATCATATGCTTATCAAAAGATACAAAGGTGAATCTTACGTGTATATTTGTAAATATTAACTCCCTCAGTTAGAATTTAAGGTATTTAAAGAAAGGATTAGAACTTACATATCTTTATATCTTTTGTGGCTGGGTGCCTTGTTTACAATTAGAAAAATGTTTTTATGTGAGTAAATTTAGTTTTTCTTTATTTTGTTTCAACAGTTATTTTAAGAAGCTAGCTTTTCATTCATCCAAGAAATGTCAGTTTGAGTCAACAACGCTTATTATTGGCAGTGTGCTAGCCACTTAGAGGTATAAAAACAGTCCCTATCTTCAGGGGGCTCATGGTTTAATAGAAAAACGTATAAAATACAGGGGAGGGAACAATTTTTCTGTAATGGAGAAAGTGGCAGTACATTCATGAGCTGTAAAAGAGATAGACTACCAGACAGGACGAAATACAGAACTACAAAGGGAAGTTTGGAGAACTGAGCAATGTGGTATAACTAGAATATTAATCTGGGAGGTTGTGGGAGATAGATAATACTAGAGAGTTATTTAAGTTCCAGATCATTAAGGCCTTTGAATGTGGTCCTAAGGAACTTTGCCTTTATTTTACAGGTTAGAAAGCCAATATAGAGTATATCAGTCACGCTTAGTGAATAAATTTGAGGGGTGACACTGAAGCAAGATAATCAGGCTGTATATACTCTAGGTTACAAATGATATATGTCTACACCAGGGCACTAGTGATGGCAAGAGAGCAGAGGATAGATTCCAAAGGAATTAGGGATAAAAGTTGAGAGAATTGGTGTGGTTGTTTGGAGAGGCTGATGAAAAAAAGAATTTTCTGTTTACTCCATCAGCACTCATTTGTTAAGGTATGGAAGTTGAGATGTCATTGTAAGATGCAGAGAAGGGGAGTTTGTGGAGTGTGTGTAGATGAAAGACATAGGAGGGAGCCAAGGATTCTGTTAAAGAAGTTAAAATGGTTGGCTCCAGATTGGGAAGGAAAGGAAATCAGATTGGGAACTGGATAAAGGAAAAGAGGTGGCCAAGACTCTCGAGGTCCCCATAAAATTAGAGCAGGTATGGGAATGAGTGAGTAAATGAGCTGGAAGGACCAGAACTTGTGACCTGAGAGTGAATTAAGCTTTTCGAGAGGCACCAGTTTTAGGTGGCATCTCGTCCAAAAGTGGCTGTCATATTTTGTTGCTGGGGATGGGGGGAAGTCATTGAATTTAGGAATTGAAAACTGAGGATGGTGTTTCTCAAAATGTATTCTAAGGACTGTCTGCATCAATATCATTTGAAGTGAGATTCCTGGGCTTAAGCCCATGTCTATTTGCCTAGAATTTCTAGGGTTAGGGCCTGAGAATGCATACGTATGTCTAACAAGCAGTCTCAGTGGGGCAAGTTTAAGAACCTCTGAATTGGGTGTTGGATGGTTCATTCTTAAGGATATTTCAAGAGGTTCATGGTGATGTGTTAGGAGTTAGGATAAAGAGGATGGCTAATAGTGGGAAGATTTAAGTCAGCGCCTTAAAGGATAAGAGAAAACAGCTGTAGAGGATTAGAGACTTCAAAGAATAAGTGCTTTGTTAAGAGTAATGATGTTAGAATAGTAGAATGTTTCCTCCTGTGCTGTGTGTGAAAATGGGGAGTTTTTGTTTTGAGTGAGCTGCAGGAGGGAAGTGAAGAGAGTCTCCTGTGGTGCCATTGAAGATGGAGGCATTTAGAGGGTAAAGTGAAAGGGTTGGGGGTGGGGGGAGTCAGGATAGTGCATTCCATATCTGTAAAGACTCGTTCTAAAGTCAGAGTAAAACAAAAGTTACTTAGAAATCCTTTTTAGTCAGTTACTTTGAAAGTTCCCTGGTTTTCAAGCAGATTATTATTCTGTTAAGCATTTGGTAGGATAAGCTGACTTGTCTTTTAAGGCCATATATCATATTAAAAGTAATGTCATTATCTTTAAACACTAAAATCCCAGGGATTTTGCTGAGATCGATACCCACCCTATAAGAGGCACATGGAACTGAAAGGAGATTCAAGTTTCTCGTCTATTCGGGTTACTGTGGGGCCCAGCATCTCCTTAGTCGTCATGTGTGCTTGATTCTAAGCTCTATATAATACAGTGCTTTCTGCAGTGGGCAGTTTTTTAAGGAGATATAAAATGATAAGAAAGGATTAATGACTGAGATGATGTTTTGTCTGGTGCCTCTGGATTCCCTGCACAAGAGGCGTCTTAAGCTTGGCTTAATGGTTGTGAACTTGGAGATACATATATATTGGAGATACATATATACAGTAGGAGGTCCTAGTTAACGTGATGACCTTGTCTTTGCACACTACCTACTTGTAGGAAGGCAATGGCTGTAGAATACATTGCATGGGGGCTATTTTGTCTATATATAACTTGTTTCACTTAAAATAATTTTTGATTGCAAAATATAAATAATGTGAAGTTGACCATTTTAACAGTTTTTAAGTGTACAATTCACTGTCATTAATTGCATTTACAATGTTGTGCACCCATCACCACTATGTATTTCCACAAAGTTTTCATCACCTCAAACAGAAACTCTGTACTCATTAAACAGTAACTATGTACCTCTCCCGCTAGCCCCTTGTAACCTCCAATGTACTTTCTGTCCCTGAAATTGCCTACTTTCAATATTTCATATAAGTGGGGTCATACATTTGTCTTTTTTGTGTCTGGTTTATTTCACTTAGCATAAAGTTTTCAAGGTTCATCCATGTTGTAGCATGTTTTGGAACTTCATTTCTTTTTATGGCGGCCAAATAATATTCTGTTGTATTTATGTACCACTTTTGGTTTACCCGTTTTTCTGTTGATGGGCACTTGGGTTGTGTCTACCTTTTGACTTTGGTGAATAATTCTTCAATGAAAATAGGTGTTCAAGTATCTATTTGAGCCCCTGTTTTTAATTACTTTGGGTATATACCTGGATTGGAATTGCTGGATTATGGAGTAACGCTATGTTTAACTTTTTTGAGGAACCACCAAACTGTTTTCCACAATGTCTGCACTGTTTTTCATTCCCACCAACAGTGTACTAGGGTTCCAGTTTTTCTACACCTTCACCAAATGCATATTTTGTTTTCTGTTTGTTTAAATTATAGCTATCTATTAGATGTGAAATGTCATGTAATCATGGTTTTCACTTATATTTCCCTAATGATTAATGTTGAGCATATTTTCGTGTACTTATTGGCCATTTCTAAAGTTTTGAGGAAATGTCTGTTCAAGTCTTTCGCCCATTTTTTAAATTGGGCTTTTTTGTCTTTTTGTTGAGTTGTAGGAGTTCTTCATATATTCTGGATATTAAGCCCTTTTCAGATACATGATTTATAAAGATCCTGTCCCATTCTGTAGGTTGTTTTTTTACTTGCTTAACAATGTCCTTTGATGCACACATTTTAATTTTGACGAAGTCCAGCTTATCTTTTTTTTTTCTTTTTTTTTTAAATTTTGTTGCTCATACTGTTGGTGTCACATCTAGGAATCCGTTGCCAAATCCTTTGCCAAAAGATTATGGAGATTTACCTCTATGTTTTCTTCTAAGAGTTGTAAGGTTTTACCTCTTATGTTAGGATTGTTGATCCATTTTAAGTTAATTTTGTATATGGTGCGAAGTAGGGGTCTGATTTCATTCTTTTACACATGGAAGTTCAGTTGTTCCAGCATTTGTTGAAGGGACTGTTCTTTGCCCATTAAATGGATTTAGAACCCTTTTTGAAAATCAGTTGGACATAAATGTATGGGTTTATTTCTGGACTCTCTTATTGTGTATTTGTCTATTGTTAATGCCAGTACAACATTGTCTTGATTACTCTAGCTTTGTAGTAAGTTTAAAATCAGGACGTTTTTTGAGTTCTCCAACTTTACTCTTCTTTTTTAAGATTGTTTTGGCTGTTTGGGGCCCTTCACAGTTTCATATAAATTTGAGGATTGACTGTTCCATTTCTATAAAAAAGGCTTGGAATTTTGATATGAATTATGTTGAATTTGTAGAGCACCTTGTGTAGTGTTGTCATCTTTATAGTCTTCCAATCCATGAACACTAGTTGTCTTTCCATTTATTTAGCTCTTGAATTTCTTTTAGCAATGTTTTATAGTTTTCAGTGTACAAGTCTTTCACCTCCTTAGTTACATTGATTCCTACATATTGTCTTAGATGCTATTATAAACGAAGTTGCTTTCTTGATTTCCTTTTCGGATTGTTGACTGGTAGATATAGAAATACAGCTGATATTTTTGTGCACTGAACTTACTACCTGCAACTTCGCTGAATTTGTTCACTAGCTCTAGTAGCTTTCTTGGAGATTCTTTGGGATTTTTTTTATAGAGAGAATACAGATAGTTTTATAATCTCTGTAAATAGAGATAGTTTAACTTCGTTCTTACCAATTTGTATGCCTTTCATATCCTCTTCAAGTCTAAATGTTTTGGCTAGAACTCCAGTGCAGTATTGAATAGCAGTGGTGAAAGCAGGCATCTTTGTCTTGAAATTTTTTTACTTGTAAGATAAAATTTGCCACTGAATTTTGTTAAATGAAAGGATCATACATAATTGACTAATTTTGTTCTTAATTTGTCTTTAGAGAAGTTGATGTTGAATTTTTTTCGTTTGCAGCACAGGATGAACCAGCAGTGAAAGAGAAATTACTGCAAACTGGCTTGCTGCTGGTGAAGATGATGTTTTATTTTTGTGACAAGCATCTGTGGGATTTGGAATAGAAATGTAAGTATGGCATCATGATTTTTCCAAAGCTGCAGTACATTAAGTAGACTGGTCTAAAATGCAATAAATCAAATATCTGTCATATTTCTAATTATACAAAATGAGCATTTTGTATTGATTTTTAGACATTTTATTATCAATTTTATTCACATTAAATTATTGTTAATGTAGATTTCCAAAAATCTCCTCCTAGGGAAAAATCTCTATAAAAAATGAAACTGGATACAGCAAATTTGCTCAGAGAAGGCTAAAAGACTGGAAAGATGTCCAGTTTTTTTCTAGGTTCTACTTTCTCTTTACATAATAACTTACTTAAATAATCAAGCTAGGTAGACAGTATTGGCTTTTATAAATAAGACGTACTTATAAGTTATAAAACACTAGTTGTTAAAAACTTAGATCACTAAATTGAATTGATTTTTTTAAATGAATTTTTTTAAACATTTGTACATTATTTCAATTCATACTGAATTCACTCTAGTCCCCAGTTTTATTAGTTGTCTTCCTCTCATTCGGTCTTTATGAAATATGCTATAAAATGTTACGCTACCTTGATCTAACCCATATTAAACTTCATTCTATTCTGGATGAAACATTTTCAGACAGTAAACATCAGATTTCCGTCTTTCAAGTTAATATGAGCGTTGTCCAACTTGATGTCACCCATGAAAAAGGCAGTGAACATTTTACTGCCTTTTACAGTCTTGGTGGTTACAGTGTTTTAAAATACTGGACAAAAGAATGACCCTTGTAGATACTATTTCACTTGTTCTCCCAGTTTGATATATAATTATTGCTATCCACTTTTCTAACATCATGTTTTCATTATATACTCTCATTAAAACTATGACAATATCATTCTTAGTGTTGAGCATTTGATAAAAAATGAAACCTATAAGCATTTTTCTTTATAATTGGGCCAAATATGTCTTTTATTTAAACCTATTCATGTTACCTCTGTCTATCATATGTTATATCTATCTAGCTATCAGTCAATCAGTCATCTATCTTTAATCCTGTAGGTCAGATTGTCTAGGTGCTGGCCATCAAGGAACTAGACTGTGGTCTAGTAAGTAAGACAGATACGTAATTAATAACTAAACAGTGGAAGAAATGCCATGTTCAGGTAGCAATAAATACTTTTGGGACTGAAAGGATTTGTTCCATATGAAGGATTCAGAATTAACAGAAGAACTTTTGGCTTGGTCTTAAAGAATGAATAGAACTTTAACAATCTGAGAAAATAAAGAAATATTTTTCAAGCCAAGAGAATGAGAAGGGACATAGCTATTTAAACATCAAGGTATCTTGGGGGAGTCAGGAAGCGACCCTAAGTGGGAAAGTGGGGTGGGAGAAAGGCTTTAAACTCACTAAAGGAACGAGGGTTTGGTCAGAGCCTGCTTACTGTCACGTTCTTACCTGGGTACTTTACTGGGATTATTGATTTTAATCACTGTGAAGGATGGTGGTAGCTTCATTTACTGATGATGAAAGAGAATTAAGAGTGATGAAGTTGTTTGTCAGTGTTTATCAGATTTCTCTGAGAATAATCCCCTGGGACACTCATTAAACAAAACACAGGTTTTTAGACTAACCCAGATACATCTAAATTTCCAAGGTAGAACACACCAGCTAATTCTTACCTTTAAAGAAGTTTGGGAAGTGCTGTTTTGGGTAAAAGAATAAATGTAGAGCTAGGATTTTAACTAAGTCTGTTTTACTCTAAGTGCTGTATCAGTGTACTTGAAAGCCAATGCTTAGGAATTTGGATTAGATTATATAGACAGTAGAAAACTATTGAAGATGGAGTCTAGAGAAGACTAATTGGATATGATCGAACTGAGAAAAGATGAAAGGGAGAAAGGACTGAAGTCAGGGAGGCCACTTGGGAGGTAAGTATTTTGTACAAGTGTGTCCAAGAGGCCAGATTTAGGGTCACAGGCTTTGGGAAAGAGGGGGATACATTCTAAAGAAGTTTCTGTCATAGGGAAGAGAAGTGGCCAAGAAATAAGGGAGCAATGAGGATGGTTCCCAATTTTATCTAAGATAGAGCTCAAAGGAAGAAGATACAGGTTTAAGGGAGCAGATAATTTTGTTTTTAGCCATGTTGATTTCAAGTGCCTTGAAAATATTGAAGTGGACTTTTTGAATACAGAAGTGAAATTATAAGTCTTAAGTGGAATGGTTCTGAATGTTATGTCTTGGGAATCGTTTAGATACATATAAGTTTGAAATACTCAGTAGATTGTCTAGGTGTAGAATGTAGTGTGAAAATAAGGCCACCCACAAAGCCTCTGTGAGGAGTACCTGTACTTAAGAGAAGCTAGTGAAGATAGAAAACAACAACAACAGAGGATTTGGACAGAGCACAATCATGAAAATGGAGAGCATAAAGTTTTAGAAAAAGAATCAGTGGTTAGTGATATTATTCAGTGCAGTGGGATCAAATAGATGCAGACTGAAAGAGGCCATTATTAGACTTAGTATATTAGTTTACTTTGAAATTTAGGGATAGAGAATATTCAAAATGTTGGTGGAACTGGGGTGGTACTAACACCAGAAATTGAGGGGTTAGCTTGGAAAAGAACTAGCTGTACCCCATCCTGAGCCAAGAGGAATAATGATAAGGTAAAGTGAAAATAAAAATAAATTTTGAGGATTCATTTTTATCTAATTTCTTAATGATAAGGGAGTCCAGGATTTCTCTTAACTAAGAGGTTAGAAGAGCTTTTTAACAGCCTTTGGGGAACTAGGGAAAATAAGATGTCTTAGCTGAGTAAAAAGTTATTGATAGCAAGCTTGATGGTCTCTGGGAAATCAAAACAGCTTAGCAGTTAATGGTGCTCACAATTTATGTACCATACATTTCACGATAGAAATGGAAATTTTCACGAGTTGAACAGTAACTTTTATAAGTCCTCTCCTTGCTTGACCCTTCTTTTTTGCAAATGTCTCCCCTCGTGGCTTTTGGTATTGGTTTCTCTCTATTCCTCATCCCTCTCTGACCATTCCTTACATCCTTTACAGTCTGTTTTTGCCTTACTTACAAATGCTGGAATCATCCAAGGTTCTGTGGTTGACTCTTTTTGTCTGCTCTCTCTACAGGTTTAATTTGGGCATTCATCCATTTTCATGTCTCTAAGAACCATCTTTGTACAGGTGACTCATCAGATTTCTATTAGCTTAGATTTCTTTGAAGTACCAATCTAGTAAATTCAGCTGTCATCTACCTATCTTCATCTGGTGACTTGATTATGTCTGAGACAGAACTCACCTCCAATTCTGAAACTTCAAGGATAGTACCACCATCCATCAGTAACCAAATGCTTTTATTTATGTTTCCTTAGTATTTGTTATATTCCATTGTTGGAACCCTATAGCACCCTCTCTCCCATTATCTTGTACCTAGATTACTATAAATCTTAGTTTCCTCTTTACCCCATGCCACTAAGTCTTCCTCCAAACTGCTGTCCAAATGATCTTGATAAATTACTAAACTGACTCACTTCCCAACGTAAAACCCTTCAGTGAATTCCTATTATCTCCTTAGTGGTTCTGTGTGGACCACTTCATAGAGATTCTTGAACCCCTTGGAGTTATATGTAAGATTTCCTGAAATTCTTAATAAAGGCTGTGATCTAAAAATGTTTAAGAACCATTGTTATTTAGAATAAGTTTTTAAACTCATTAGGAGCATAATGTACAAGGTCTTTGTAGCATTTCTTGCGTAGTACTTTTCATCCATTCAGAATGTGTTTATCCCTTCCCTGCTAGTTACCATTCCTTCCTTGTGCTCCCTGGTATCTGTTATGCCTATCATAAGACCTGTAAGTAATGCACATGTTCATTAACTTTCTGCCCCTACACTTGGGTGGCAAGTAGTAGTATGCATCTTCCTCATGCCATGGGACTTGCAGATGCTTAAATACCTTCTCTTTTCAACTTGAAAGGGAATTTCAATGACAACTAATTTCTTTGACCTAAATTGAAAAGGATGAAAGAATATAGGTCTTGTTCTCCCATTCTACAGCTAATTTTAGTTCTTTATATTACCAAAATATGTATAAAATATCCTAAGACAAATGTAGCATTAGGACCTGATAAATTAAAACTTGATAGCCAGTCCATTAAAACTTTTCAGAGTTGTTCTTATATTGAGATTGATCTGTATGTAGCTTTTGCCAGTAAATAATGAGAAGCTAAATTCAGTTAGCAAGTGTTTATTATACACTGTGTGGTGACATGTATTTGATACTGTAGAAGAGGCTTTCAAATACAGTTTTATGCTTTCAATTGATTGTACATTGCAATAATTTTGAGTCACAACATTGTTTCCATTTTACTGTTCAGAAAAATGAATTCCCAGAAGCATGATGTGAGTGTGTGATTTTTTATTTTTTTTTAAAGCCTCTTACAGGTACATTGGGAGCTGCTTTGTAGTATTTGGCAGAATTGAAATTAATGTACATAGACTGTTAACACAGTGTGAGGATACCTGGGGCAGACAAAAGTATTCTGAATCTTTTGCCAAATAACAAATGAAATATGTGGTACTCTGTCTCTTGCTGTTTTGGGAAGTACTAAGATTTTGTTTGCTTTTAAGAAATACATGAGTTATTGAGAGCCAAAATGTGGTTCGCACAGCCAATTCTTTTTAGGGGAAATTGCTGGAGGACAATTAATTGACCCTCAGTTGAGATACATGTGCTTTTACTTATAACTTAGGTTAAGTTACAAGATCTTTGAAGGCAAGAGTTTATCTCAGAATACTTTGAGGCTCCTATAGTGCCTATCACATATTTGGTTGACTTAGAACTCACCAAGAGGTTAGGAAAAAGTTGTATTTTACTAATTCCTATAACCTAGTTTTTGGTAAAAGAGTTGTCTGGAGATGTATTTAAAGGTTGGGGGGAAAAAGTTTGAAAATTAAGCATTTCATAATTATCAGTTCTTTTCATTGAGACTGTGCTGCTTCCTTTTCTAGATAAATGCAGTCTTTTCAAAAACAATATCATTTTGAACCTTGCCTATCGAGGAACCAAGAACACAGAAAAAGCTGTAAGAGAATGGCTTGTTTGATTGGATGTGCTGTGATAAAAGCCTTAAGAATATTGTTTTTCAAGTTTTGATGAGCGTTAACATTCTTATTCACTACCCTTTATGTAACCACTGGAGAGTGCTTGATCTTAGAAAAAAGCAAAGATCCTTAAGATGATTAAATTCTAAATATTCTGCATTTAAAATGGCACAATCAACTGGTACGGAAATATTACTTATCACTGCTCCACTCTTTCTGTTATTTTCTTCCCTTTTAAAATATCTCTGGTTTCCTGTTAGTGTGGGATAAAATCAGATCAAATGTTTCTTCTTCAGGGCAATGAGGCTTTCATGATTCGGTTGCTGATTACCATACAGCTTTATCTCCTGCTGTTCCATTGCTCATTTGTCTCTGCCCTGAATTTCTTCTAGCTTCCTGCACCACAGACTTACCTGTATCCATCCTGTCATCTCTCTCTTGTCATTATTATTTTTAATAAGTATCTTAACACATTTTGTTACAGCAGAAATCAGGCCATATTGTGATTATCTGCTTGCTTGCATGTATATTTCCTAATTTTATAGATCTGTGTCTTATCTTTAGATCCATCAATATTCAGTATTGTGCATGGACCATAGTAGTTGTTTAAAATGTTTATCTGAATCAATAAGGTGGAAGTTACAAATTTTATGCCAGTATTTAAGCTCCATGCATCCAGTTTGACAAATCTTGTCTTTTTCCTCTCTCTTTCCTCTTCAGGGCAACTTCGATATTATGGCATTTTCTCCCTTGGTCTTACATGATTGTAACATGTGGAGCTTTAGTGATTACAAAGCATTTGTTTTTGTTTTTTTAGCTAGTCTCACCTAAGTTTTATAAACTCTGATTTGCAAGTAAGGAAATTTAGAGAAAGGGTTTAACTGAGTGCTTAAGAGTATACAAGTAATTAGGGAGGATTAGCACTCAGTCTTTAGATTTGTCTGGCATTGGTTTCCTTGTGTAACACCTGCCTTAATTCAAGTTACCCTTTCTCCTTTTGCCATCTGCAGATTTTCATTATATATAATAGCTTTCAATATGCTGCTTTAGGACTGATCTTTAAGTGCACTGACAGAATTTTTAGACATTCCCAAGGTAAGTATCAGTAAATGCTTAAAAAAAAATGTTTACCAGACAGCTGGTTTAACTTAATGTTATTTAAAATAAAGCCCCCCGAATCTATTTTATGATATATTCTTCTTTGGAAAAACATTCATTTTCTTAGCAAATATTTGAGTATGTCTATCTGCCAGCTCCTGTATGGGAATACAGACAAGAGGCAGAGGTGAGGTGACTTGTTCCCTGCCCCTATGAAACCCACCTGCCTATGGGAAAGACTGATGACATCAACAAGATAATCACAAATAAGTGTAACATTGCAATTTTGATAAGAACTATGAATGAGAAGGGCATGATAGTAACAAGTTAAAAAAATAGGGTGGTTTCACCTAGTTATGGAGACGTTATCAAGAGGGATATGAGATGGGTAGTAACCTGCCCATGGGGGGCATGGGAGACAGAAACTGGGGCAGTGTTCTATATAGAGAAAACCTATTATTAAAAAGAGTAGCCAGTGCGGCTGGAAGCCTGATCAAGGGCAAGTCTGATGTGAGACAAGGCTGGTGTGGGAGGCGGAGGCCAGACCTTGCTGTATAGATCCTGGTCTTTATCCTAAAATCAACTTTTTAAGCCAGGGGTGTGGTTAGACCAATTAAAAGGCATTACAGTAATTAAATAGTGTGCTTAGTTAGGGAAGGGTAGAGATGGATAGTAGATGATTCAGGAGATCTTAGGAGAGAAAATTGATAAGACTTGCTCCTGTCTGGAATGGGGGAAGCATAGGAGAAAGGACAGTTTCAGTGATGGATTTCTGGCTTGAAAGACAGGTGGATAGTGGTGTCATGTGGAGGTGGGCTGTAAGGGAGTAAATAAAGAGGAAACAGATCATGAGTTCAGTTTTTGTGTCTGTAAGATATCCAAGAAGAGATCTAAAATAGGCAATTAGAAACATAGGCCTAGGGCTGAAAGGAGAGACCTGGGCTGGCCATGTCAATTTGTGAGTTGTGTATATATGTAACACACAAAACCACGAGTATAGATGAAATCCTGTTTAAAGAGTACAGCAAGAGGAGCATGTGGTTTAGGAAAAGGCCACAACAAAAAGAGGCCATTAGAAGACAGTGTTACACAGAGAGGGAATGAAATGACTGGTTTAACCAGTGTTTTTAGATACACCGCAGGGTTAGGGAACTTTTGTGATTTCAGCTTTAGTCTTAATTTCCTATGGTCTACTTGTCAAGTACCAAGTTTATTAATATTTGGTAATATTTGCAAAATTTTCACTTACTAATATCCTAAAGGCTACAACGTTGTGTTTCTGTAATTATATATAATCTGAATTACTTTTAGCTGTTTTCTGTTTCTCTATATTCCAGCTGATTATCAGTCTAGAATGGACTGTACATTTTTAAATCTTTGCATTAGTTCTATCTTACAAAGTCCCTGACTGATAGAAATGGTATATTTATTTAAAGTCTACATCTTAGTTGTATTTTTTGTATTTTTGGCTTAACATTTGTATGCCTCATTGCCTCCCACAAGTAAAAATTAGTAACATGCAAACCAAAAAGGTTTTTCTACACAAGTTAGTTTTCTCCTGTTTTCATTTTTGCATCTCCATTGTCTAGTATGTGGCTTGCATATAATAGATGCTTAATAAGTGTTTTTTGAATTGTTGCAGTAAGACGAGAGTTACAACACGATTTTAATATACCTATTTTCTTTCATTTTCTTAGGATGGCTAGCTGTGGTGAAATTGATCATTCAATAAACATGCTTCCCACGAACAGGAAAGCGAATGAGCCCTGTTCTAATACTG